TTCTATTGAAATCGAAATCAAATTCATGCCGATCTGGTTCACCTCATCATTACTCTATCTAATGTATCAATATTAACCAGATGGTGTGACGGTTTAAAAAAAAAGTGATGTATTCGTATGCAAAGTACATAAACAACAATCCAATATAAAGTAGAGAAATATGCATATGGGTTTGATTTAACAATATCTTAATTGACTACGAAAAAATTGGAATTTCTATATCTGCTCCAAGAAATAAGAAATGGTTCCTTCAACAAGTATCTTTGCCCCAGCTACCAAAGCTCTCTCCCATTTAGAAGGTCTAGGAACACCAATCCTTTTCCCAAAATTATAAGAAATAACTAGGGTTCCTCTTGGATCCACAGCATCATTTCTTTTCACCTTGATTCTACTAGTTCTTTCAGAACTTTTCCTCTTTTTGAACAGTTTCTTGAGTGACATGTTAACTTCTCCAACATACTTATCACTCAACAAGCTTCTTTTACAGTATAATTTGATAGTAAGATCTACATCCCCTTGCTTCACTGCTTTTTCACCTAATGTATACTCAATTTTGAATTTCCAGTTGGGATTTGTCTTACCTTTCATGTCGGCTGGAGTTCTCTTAACCGTATTTGGTTCACCTCCAATTGAAACCTCTGCGTATACTTTCATTCTGCCAAACTTTCGAACGTCCATCAGATCATTTGCTGAAACAAGAGTAATCTCAAATTTTCTGCAATCCATGTCACTCATTTTTCTTTTTCTTTGAATGATTTGATTGTTCAAGAATTTATTTTTTCGGTGTAAGCTTTAGGTCGAAATCTGGAAAATTCGAGGAAGATGAAGAATGAAATCCCACTTTTCTTTGCAAGAAAATACCTTAATTGACTTATATAACTAAGTCTTCGTAACACCATTTTGCAACTTGCACAATTACATGTGGCCTAAGATTTTCATGGTAAATCTATTTTTTTTTTTTAAGTGGAATTAATTAGGGTACCGTTACTTGTATCCATAGTTTTATATATGCATCCCACTTTATACATCCCTATTAAATATTAAAATTTTAAAAAATTACTATTTTCATCTAAGTCAAATTTCAATATTGTCGTTATTAAATTCATTCGTTTAAATATTATAGATCCATACAAAGTTTAGATATTCATCCCGCTATAAATACATTCCTAATACAATTTTGAAAATCACTATATCCATACAATCATTTCAACATTTAATATGGTTCTTACTTTTTATTTTTTATATTATCATGTCGGTGCTTTAATATTTAATTATAAAGCTTAGCAATTTTTTTTAATTTATAGTATTCTCTCAAAAGTATACTGCTCACGCAATCGAACAGATTCCTCCTTGAATCATATGTTAATTAATTTTTTTTCCTTATAAACTCATAATTTTGATTGTTTGTGTTTCAATTGATACTTTTAAGTTTGTTTCCTTTTATAATGTAAATGTATTTGGACAAGAATTGAAACTTATTTTAATTTTTTTGTATATTTTCATCTGTCAAATCAATACCTAAAAAAGCATAAAAAATAATTTTCCATTTTTCATATCATGAAAAAATTATAACTCTAATAATGTGTTGATTTTTTATTTTTTATTTTTGAATTCCCATTGAAGACGATATTTTATGATTAGAGTTTTATGATTTAGTTAAAGATGATGTTTTATGATCATTAGAATTTTAGTTAAACACAAACTCTAAAAAAAATATAAAAATGTTTAAAAGAATTTATGAAAACAAACATTAGTCGATGAATTTACAACAATATATTTTTATTTAATTTTATACATGTCTATTTAGGGAAATTCACATAAGATACAATATATTTATCTTTTTAAAAGTGGATGTATATATAAAAATTGTGGATGTAAATAGCGGTACCCATTAATTATCCTAGCATTGGAATTTTAAAAAATTCTCCAAATTTATTAATCAATTCTTTTAAAATACATGGTAATTTACTATTCTCTAGAACACTACATAATTTAGATTTGAAAATTGAATTTAAGGGGGTGTTTGAGAGTCATTTTTATGTAAAAATGTGTTTTTGAATAGTAAATTGATGAGAAATGTGTGGTTGGAAAATAAGAAAAAGTTTTTTATTTACGTGTAATATTATTTTAATAAAGAATGTGTGGTTGAAAAGAAGAGAGAGAAAAATATATTTTGAAAAAAATAGATACCAAACGGACCTAAATAAATATTAATGAAAGCGTAAGGCAGACTGCTAGGAGTCCAAATTAAATCTCCCAAAATTATTGTTCCTACGTGATGGAGTAGTGCTCTTTCTTTTCTTCTTTTTTTTACTTGTATTTCCGATGATTAATTCTTTTTATGTGAAACTAACCAATTCAAGTAATTCCTTTTAATGATATCATAAGATACTCTTATAGCGATTGCTAATGAATGACTGATAAGAAAATTAATCCGGTATTATACTTTACTGATCTTTATTAATGTTTAACTATATGGCTCAAAATCATATGATGCATTCGATGTTGATCAAGTTTGCATAATGAAAAGAGAAAGAAAGAACTTCTAACCTATTATCTCTTACACACTTACAATATCTTTCATCGTTAATTGACTTGAACATCAAAGTATCCTGTGACTGCCTTTCCCATCGTTGGAGAATAGGCAACATGCACCAAATGGTTTGTCCAAGTGTACATGATACGTATATATGGAAGAGAGAGGAGTCGGATCTTTTGGTCACATGTGATCTCACCAAATATCGAGGTCAACAGCTTTTTCAAAATCAACTGTGGATTAATATTAACACGCTGCTTTGACGATGAAATTTTTTAATGCAAATTTTCTCATTGCATTAGTTAGATGCATACAAAAATAAAGAAGAAAATAATGGATATCTATGAATCCCATTTGAATTTTTCCATAATCATATTTTCAAACAAAAGAAAAAACATAAATAAAAGACCAAGAGATGTATTTTCCAAAAATGTAATACAAAGACACGTTACATTACATACCAATTTGATTCTTTAAAACTGTACATTTTTTGGAATATCTTTGGTTTTACTTTTAATTTTTAAATAAAACCAATTCTCTTTTTAATTTTGATTTTTGTTGGTAAAACCTTTTAAATTAGATGTGGGGTAGTGATTTGTATATAACTTTGTATAACGTTTCTCTACGCCCTTTATCTTCAACTTTTTGTTATTTTAAATAACTTTGAGTTAAATACATATTATTATTTTCAAAGAAAGAAAAATGCATAAATAAACTTTATGTAAAATTGTTCTCACAATCAAAGACATATGAATGGAAATCTTATGATACATTTGACATGTTGTTCAGAATATTTGGTGGTGAAAGGGTTGTTTTGTGATAGACACAATATCGAGGTTTAATTCATAGGAGTGTAATTAAACACAACAAAATTTGGAAGAGAACTTGATGGTATACAAACCACAAAGAAAAACAAGAAATGAAGAAGAAAGAAATCCGAGGCAAGTGAAAAACCACTTTTCCCTTAACATGACATTCCTCCGCAATGGTGCTCACGAATAATGATACTTGTCTCCCAAGATACAATGGATTCAGCTTGTAATAAAAGCATTTCAAACTACAAGCAGCAGCGAACTGTGAATAGAGTTTTCCCTCTCTACAAAGAATTATGAAGATATTTTGCAAGAGTTTTGAAATAATGCTCAATGAAAAAGTGATATGAGATGCTTTTTGGACATCCAAAGGGTCCTATTTATAGAGGATGAGAGGTCGTGGATAAAGTAATGTGCACCAAACAACTCGTAACTTTATGAAGGAAAATATCACTTGCTGTTGCTAGCCTATTGTTGGGCTCTCACTCGCGCGGTAGTGTTAAAAATTTTAACAAAAACTTTTCGCTCATCTGTCGTTAGCCTGTCGCTTGAGCGATATGCGAGCTATAGGGTTAGGTAAAAATTCAGGCCAGATTTTTCGCTATTTTTCTTCCAAATTTAGACTGCAATTTCTCATTCATCCGAAATTGATTTCAAAATCCCAAATTACTACGATGATCTACTTGACGAATAGAACAAGTTGATTTATTTACATTTATAATTTGACTATCGAATCAAGATTGAATATTTGATCGAACTTAACACGAAAGTCACTTTTCCACTTTTATACTTAACCAATTTTTTTCAAATTTAAACCAATTTTCAACAATCCTCCACATGAATGAAAATTCGAATATGTATATACAATACGAAAATTTGTGATGATTGTAGAGAGAGTGGAAAAATATGCATCGGGTAAAGAAGCATCCAACTTTGAACATTCCTTACTAAAATACTATTGAACTTACTTGGTTAATTGGTGAACATGATGTCTTGAACCATTCAGCCGTTAGTGTAAGTCAAGACAATAATACTCACACAGATGTCTTCCATAATTTGTTCATGGTTCTCATGACTTGGTTTATTTTGACATTGAACTGCTTTTGGGTTTCATAATTGTTTGATGTGAACCCACGTAGCAATAGTAGTTTTGAAACAAAACAAAAAAAAAAAAAAAAATTATTCAAACCCAAGAAATTCAAGAATCAACATTTAGAGTTTAATCCAAAAATATTGAACCAAGAAACCAACACAATTCTCGACAACATGTTGACTTCTTAATCACTAGATTCAAGAATCTCCCCCGGATTGTTTAAATGCTACAAAGAATAATTCTTGATAAATTTAAAATTTGGTTTATTGAAGAACAAATAAATTAAAAGCAAAAATTGCTCACAAATAATAGCTCAATTGTATGAATGAATGTTGTTTACAATCTAATAATGAGTCCTATTTATAAGAAACCCATAAAACTTAGTTAAAAATGGAATTAAAGTCTAATAATACAAAAAATTACCATAAACTAGAGATCTTGCATAAATAAAAATTTTCTTAAACCTAGATAAAACGAGATTAAATTTTAAAGATTATAAACGATATCAAAGATATAGAGATTTTACTAAATTAAGAGATTTCGAGAATAATTACTTCAGCTTGAATTATGCAGCCACATAGTACATTTGAATGCAGTCGCATAGTGGAAAATTTTCACCCGACTGGCCTTGTTGCATACACCTATTCCTTCACATAGATGTTAATACTATGCGATCGCATAGTGTTCTCTTCTATCTTCGTAGTCCAATGCTCGAATCAAATTGATCCACTTCATTTTTTCTCATTTCTTCTTCCATGCCCAACATGAACTTGGTCTTCGGCTTGTTCAACCTAGTTAAAATGAAATCAAATTTTAAGATTTCTTAAACCTAGCTAAAACGAAATCAAATTTTAAAGATTATAAAAGATATAAAAAAAATATAGAGTTTTAACTAAATTAGAGATTTCGAGAAAAAATTGGAAAAATTGCTTCGGCTTGAATTATACGACAACATAGTACATTTGAATGCGATCACATAAAGGAAAATTTTCTCCCATCTGGCCTAGCTGCATACACCATTGCCTTCGCATAGATGTTAATTCTATGCGGTTGCATAATGTTCTCTTCTATCTTTGTAGTCCAATGCTCGAATCAAATTGATTCGCTTCGTTTCTTCTTCCACGCCCAAACATTAACTTGATCTTCTGCTTGTTAACGTCGCCCTCTTTGGACTCCATAACTTGAACAAGTGATTGTATGGCTTTATTAACATTAATTAATCTCGAGCTTGATCTTGGCCTCTTCTTGACATACTTCGAACTATTGTTAGGTTGTTGCCTTCCTTAGATCACTTCAATGTTTAGAAAATTTTAGCCTCCAACAATTCTCATTGAAGCGTTCGTACTTCACACTTACATAGGTGACCTTCTATTAAGAGTATTTTGTCGTACTCCACTTGACTTAATCAAGATATAAGAATCATTAAAGGAGTACCTTAACCTCTAATCATTCTATAGAAAGAACTTTAATATCATAGGAATGAGTTAGGAAATAATTTACTAAGTGCTTCATTTAATCCTCATAACTCATTTGTCCATTTGAACCAATCTCTTGGGATCTCTAGTCAACAAGGTAAGATTACTATTACATAGACTATTACGTAGTAAGCTTTAATTCTATTCCTTTCGATAGGCAACATATTTGATCACTAGATAAGCTTTTCGTAAGTGGATCCGCTATGCTCTCTTTTGATTTCACATAATATATAGAGATGATATAATTAAAGATTAGTTGCTTAATGGTATTGTATCTACAACATATATGTCTAGACTTACCATTATACATGCTGCTTTGAGCCCTTCCAATAGCCAATTTACTATCACAATGTATATTTATTGAAGGTATCGGCTTGGGTTATGAAGCAATTCTGCTTCTTCTCCAACAAAAGCGTAATTAAACACAACAAAATTTGGAATAGAACTTGATGGTATACAAACCACAACGAAAAATAAGAAATGAAGAAGAAAGAGATTCGAGGCAAGTGAAAAATCACTCTTTCCTTGAGACAATATTGTCCCACAATGATGCTCACGGATAATGACACTTGTCTCTCAAAATACAACAAATTTATCTTGTGGTATAAGCACTTAAAATTACAAGCAACGGCGAACTTTGAGCATATTGTTCCTTCTACAAGGAATTACGGCTTTGAATGATTATAAAGATGTTTTGCAAGAGTTTTGAAGTAATGCTTAATGCAAAAGTGATATGAGATGTTTTTTGGACGTCTAAAGGATCCTATTTATAGAGGTGAGAGGTTGTGGGTGAAGTGATGTGCACCAAACCTCGCAACTTTACGAAGGAAAGCATCACTTGCCGTCAATAGCTTGGGGCTCTTGCTCGAACATCAGTGTCAAAATTTTAATAGAAACTTTTTGCCCGCATTTCGCTAACCTGTCACTCGAGAGACAGCGGCGTCTCTCGAGTGATAGGCAAACGACGGAGTTAGGCCACGACGTGGCTGATATTCTGTGCACTTAATCCATTATCAAAACGATTTTTCAATGGTATATTCACTTCACCAATAAATTTATCTCCAAGTGTCCTTTTACAGTATAATTTGATTCCAAGATTTATACCTTCTTGTTGTACTGGTGATTCACTTATTGCGTATTCCATTGAAAAATTCCATCGAGTGTTCAATTCACCATCCGTGTCAACTGGGGTTTTCTTGGTGGTTTTGGATTCTGCTTTGATTGAAACTTTTGCATAAACTTCCATTTGTAGAAAATTCCTAACATCTGGAAGATTGTTGGGAGAAATAAGAGTATTCTTGAATTTCATGCACTCTATGCTACTTTGTAGCAATTGAATGGCTAAATGTTATGTTGGGAAAAGTAGACATGCATAAATTATACTCAAATAACATACATTTTATATGCATAAAATCGAACAGAATTTTGACTAACCAAAATCGAATACTTAAAGTCGAAACGAGAAATGCGTGAATATGAATTTGGTTGAGGCAAGACTTCGATTCTTTTTCCTTAAGATGATAATGCCCTACATGGGTACTAACGGTTTTCTGGCATTCGTCTTCCAAAATACAATGACCATATCTCGTAATAAGAGCATCCACATTGCATAGACTAACGAACCTACTTATGTTTTGAACCCTCTTTAAATGAAACTCGACTCCAAATAAATGCTCAAAGTATTTTGAAGTGAATATTACATTAACATGATAATGTAATGATAAAAGAGATGAATGAAATGAGACTTCCATACATGTGGTGTATATATATAGATGCTGAAAAGGTTTATCTCAAAAGACGTAGCCTATGAAAGAGACACAACTATTGAAATTAGTCTCTGTATTTGAAAAAATACATCTATTGAAAAATAATAATGCCAAAAGTCGCTATCTTTCATGTAAAAAGACACCTTTTCAGTCAAATAATTTTTAGAATATTCCATAATTTTTTATATGATTTTCCAATAATTCACGTATTTAAGTGACTTAATTTGACTTAATTTTCCATTCTCCAAATAACAATTTCCACTTAAATAATTAAGAATTGGTCAAAACAAATTTCATTTACAAATTTCCAACATGTTCTTTCAAGAATAATTAAAAAGATTTATTGATGGGAGCTAATAATTTGTGAATCTTACATGGAAGTTAGTAGATTGCTCACTATTTAGATGGCTCTGCAGGAGTAATTTTGACGATAAGAAACGGTAGAAATTGGAACTTATAATAATGGTTTGTTGCACTCTAAATGAATAATCAACTTGATTTATATATAATATATGGCTTCAAGTGAACCAACAAGGTAACAACAATGGAAGGGTCCAAGAAAGGAGTTTTGTAAATTTGCGTTGACTTAAAGTCCAGACTTCTATTTTTATGTTTTTGCTTATGCCTCTTGTAAATGAGTATCTTGAGGAAGTTATCTTAGAAATAACATTCTTTAAAAGGCATACCAAATGAACTCTTATACGACTTTGTCAAAGTCCTTGTAAATTGTTTTTCCAAGTCAATTACTTATACAAAATATTGAGTACATTTTTTATCATTCAGTAGGTATCAACATGAACTGCAGCTCATTGCTTAGAATTAAGAAACCAAGTTGACATTTTTCTTTCTACATGCAAATGGATCGTGGGATACATTCATTTTCCATAAGTATCTATCACTGTGCCCCTTGAGCCATGTTTTATTGATTAAAACTGAAAAAAAATGACCATTATTGTTTATTGAAGTTAATGGTACCTTCCATCTATATGTATATATATATAAACAATAAAAAACACCATGCCTTTCTGTAATTTTGAGATTCCGATAATAAAGAAAAGAAAAAATAATCTCCTAAACACCTATTTTCGTTAATGGATAAGCACCAGTGCTTATGTATATAAAAAATGACATTGTCCAAGAATAAAATAAATTGCATATAAGTTAAAGAAGCCTAGAAACTACAAAATTGCTCAACCTGAAACTTGATATATTTCTTAATTGTTTTTCCTAAGATGCTAAAAAAAAAAAATTAAAAAAAAATCTTGGCTGATCATCCCAACGGAAAAAAAAATTTACGGAAGAGGCAAACATTACACTCTTAATCTAATGATACAAAAAGAAGACCCTACTCTTCAATTTAATTCTGAAAATCTTCAGCTTTGGTATCAAGAATTTTTGGTCAGCTTTTTTGCAGTATATATCAAAATCTCCGTGCTGCAACTATATTTGTGCTGATGATAAGGTCATCTGATGCAACTGTGGCTTGAGCATATTCGGATATAAGGACTTATTAGTGATGTATCATATGTATAAGTCTGCTCGAGTGCTCGTGTTCAGTGATTCCCTAAGGCACCTGCATTCTGGAAAAGGGTTCGAGTAGATTGAAGTCTTTCTGGTCGACTTCTTAACTCTTGGTACAATTATACCCTTACGGTCACTTTCAGCTAGCATCAGTTCCATTTGATCCTTGAAATTATCCCAACTGTAAGCCATGAAACAGTATCATTTCATTATTTCATTACATTAAGATGCACTCTAGTGAAATTCGTGTGGCAATTCTGATCAAACACGTTTGGAAAAATAGTAGTACTTACTAAAAAGTAGGCTGCAAATAAAATTTCCCAAGGAGGTTCAAACATGTTCGGCAAAAATTACTAAAAACTAACTTTTAAGCTTAGCCCAACCAGCTCAGAGGACCACTTACGATGAACAAGCTGTTGTTTATATATGAAGGTTATGTACATTCCTTAGTTTCATGGACCACTGTGCGGGCAAGAAAATTGTGTTCATAGAAAAATATCCACACAGTTGACCTAGGTAGACATCTTCACATGTAAATTTACTCGTTTTCTAATTTTTCCAGAGAATATTTTAACCTCACAAAAAAAAAAAAAAAAAAAAATAAGATATTGAGATCACCTTGCACTTATGTTCTGCAATAGGACGACAAGCTTGCTTTTATCGGGTTTAATAGTCTTAGCATGTCCATTGAAGATGAACTTTCTGTGGCCCATCAGAAAATGTGGAAAGTTTCCCCCTTGAGTGGTTACAAATACTTCACTAAACAAGCACACCATGTAATCCAAAGCAGCTAACCTTGAAGAATAACCCTAAAAAGGGGAAATGAAGAGTTCAGCCACGCTTTGTTATGATGTCTAAATAGTACTTACAATTACAGTTCAGATACGACATCTATTATGGTTGGAACTCATTTAAACAAAAACACTAGGTGAATGTTTGGTGCATAGTGACATTATAGTTGACATGATATTAACTTCTTTCTTGCTCAATACTATGCAGTGCTTTATAATCCTCTCTACCAAACAACCCATAAGTGGATGTGGAGGCATAAATACTTAGAAACCATAATTTTGAAAAGCGATAAACATGTATTTGCATTTACTGAATCAGTTAAACTAACAACTCCAGAAGTAGTGATTTAATAGAGTTTCAAGACACTTCAGTTTGATAAACTAAAAATGCAGAGAATTTTACCTGGAATGCAGCAAGTTCATCTGCACTTGCAAGTGACTCTTTCGTCTGTAGAAGTGGAAACATTTTATACAGAGGCGCCAAATATCTCTCCTCCTTGTAAATTTTTCCGGAAGCCAAATAAATCGAAGTGTCATTGGAAAATCCCATACCCCTTAACATCATCCCAACCTATGCTGACGAAGAAAAATATACCAAAATAAGAAGAGTTACTGTCTGACAACGGATAATAATAAACAGGTATTAATTTTGCAGTAACAAAAAAAAATGGGTTTTCTTTCGTCCATTTTGAAAAATATTAACCACAATTTAAATAGATAATAGCAAAGATTTGCCTCAATTCTGGAGGAAATGAGATGTACGTCATAAACTTAACAAACAAAATTACAAAGGACTCCAACTTTTTATTTTCTTTTAGTTTTATCTTATAATTAACTTTCATTAAACAGTTCTTACATTGCACACCATCCTTCTGCATTTTTTATCTTTTAATGGAGGGGTGGGGCAAAAGATGCAGCAAAAATATCTTGCTTCAAAAAGTTAAGGTTAAAAAATAGAAGACCAGGCTTGAACTCAGTTCTAGCCTCTAGGTTAGCATCTGTATGTTTAGTTACAATTAGTGTTAAGATTTAGGGTCCATCTTAATAAAGTCAACCTTATTAAGTGGAAAATCCCAAGATCTTTATAAATTGGTATTTATTTCGGGTATTAAACCGATGTGGGATAACATATCCCTTAACATGCCCCTCAAGATGGTGGCTCATTTGAACATACCAATCTTGAAATCCACGAGGTGACTCTAATACCATGTTAAGATTTGGGATCCATCTTAATAAGGTCAACCTTATTAAGTGGAGAATCCCAAGATCTTTATAAATTGGTATTTATTTCGGTGTTAAACCGATGTGGGATAACATATCCCTTAACAATTTGCAATGAGTAGGGTCATAGCATAAATGATATGCTATAGATTATGTGGCTACATGCTTGATTCATCATTTTTACTTTAACAGCGATTTTAAGAGTTTTTGTCAATTAGTATACAAACTTCAAAATGGATAACTTATCTTTCCATTGTGGCACTCGTGTATTTTCATATCACAAAATTTTTTCACATTTAATTTTTTGGCGTGTACAGTATAGTTGATAGCTTCATCACACTTTTTGGAGCTTAAGACACCGGCAGATCAATAAGCATGTTTAAAAAGGGGTAAATGAGTACTAAGGCTTTTTTTTCTTTCATGAGGCAAGGCGTTTTGAGGCAGTAGCCTCGTCGTAAGCTGAAAAATGACAAAAAATTATCAAAGTCCAAAAAAATTCTCAAAATTCATAATAAAAGAATATTCTTAGATTACGTTTCTAGAATCCAGTGAATAAAAAAGATAAATCCCTGCTTCGAACTTTAATTATTGAGCCTATATTTATCCATAGTTCTTTCAGAGATTCTGCAGAATATCTCCACAGAAATTTCACAAGCAATAATCACCCAAATAAATTCATCACAACAACTGATGGCCCACAATTGGAGAACTTTTTCATTATCAAATCAGTTGGTATTTTTTAATTTAAAATGCACTTCCACTTATTCTCCCCCAGTCCATTTTTGCAGTTTTGCTCCACTGTCTCCTAGTCCATTATGTTTTGAATGTATACTGCTCATGAATGTTCTCACCACCTCTATCAAAGCAGTTTTTATTGATTAATCTGCAAAATAGTATAATGCAGCCTTTCCTGCACCTAATTATGATGACAACAGGTACACAAACACAAGGACTGCTCACCCCTCTTCTTCAGTAGGTAAGCAAGTAAGCTGGGGGTATGGCAAAGTTTTTGTGGATCATATCACATTACTTTCAGCTAGGTGCACTGACAAAATTCTACAAACACCTCATAATTCTCCATCTCCCCCAAACTCCTTGTTTGGTCTATTTGGGAAGAAAAAAGGGCATTAGCCTTGTATTTTACTCAAGCCAATGCTATCAAGTTTGATCCTCTTGGTTTCCGTTAAAGACCCGCGAAGGAATAAAGTCATTTCCAGGTGCAATAGTCCAGGTCCCTTCCATAGGTCTTTTGCATGAGTTAATCAGGTAGCTCCCCCTCATCTCCTTAATTGCATCTCTCGCACACTTTAGCTCTACGTCTTTGTTACCAGGTCCTGCTGTCTTTTATTTCAGACTATAGTAAAAAAGCAATAACAAAGAACTACTATGAATTCTATGTTTATATTGCCATAGAAAGGTTTCAACCATTGGTACTCTATGCATATAAAGAGGTGTATACTGTGCACCAATCCACACAGATTTAATTGACTCCTATAACAACACAACTAAGCCCTATTCCACATAAATTTGGGATGGCTACATGAATCCTTCCTCCTCATTCTGTTCTGTTAATCGCTAAATCTACCTAAAGATGTAAAGCTGATGAACTCCTGAACACCTTCCAATATAATATCAAAGGCTAACCACATAAACACAGAAAAATAAATTGCTTTAAGACTGTAACTAGCTCTAATTTCCTTCTAAAAGAAATATAGACTAAAAGAAATATAGAAGCCCACAAGAAGAAACTCAGAAACCTAGTGACAAAATTTAAAGTATAATTGATTTTCTTGAAAGAAGATGTGGTGAACTAACCTCCAGTGGGGTCATAGGGCACCTTCCATTGATACGATTAAGACCGGGAGCAATGACACGATTTTTCTGCTTAAATTTCTTCCCCCACCCTTTTTGACGTATCAAGTCCATTTCAAGTTTTTCGGCCTCTCCTCCATCATACACACAACACGAAAATGCCACCATGTCCTACAAATAAAATGTAGATACTTGAGTTATTGTGAAATTAAAAATCAACTCTGTGTTACACAATTTAAGTTCCTCGAAAATAAGTATTTTGGGGGGAAAAACATTGTACCTCCTCAAATCGAAGGTGAACTGAAACATAATTCCCACCAGAATTCAAGCTTCTTTCTGTCATTCGATTGATGAGATTTTTTGCAAGAGTCAATATAGGTGAAGAAAACCTTAAAGCTTTATAATTGGTTAGGCATCTTAAATATTGAATGTGAGATGGCATGCTCATAGCCAATCTATTTGCAAAAGGAGAGATGCGAATCACCCTGCCACCAAACAAAAGCACATGATTGAAATCTAGATTACGTATGATGAGCTAGATAATATTTTTCAATGACCATGATACGGAGAGTTTACAAAGTATGGGCTTCCTTAGTGGCAAATTACAGGATTTCACATTGATTGCTTTGGCAAAATAAGTACATGATGCTTTCCTCTTATGAACCTTCCCTAAATCAAAGTGGTCCAGGTTGTGTTTGTTAGGGGAATTTTATTTATTTATTTATTTATTTATTTTGACCCCATATATTTTACTCTCATGGTGTTTTCACCTACCAACTTAATCTGATAATGTTTGCTATTTGATAGTTTGAGGTACTGTTTTTCACTCTTTTTGGACATTCTTCCATTCATAACAGATGCCATGGATGCAGGCATTTAATGACAATGTAATGTCAATTTGTTATCTTATGTGTCATTGTGCTGTTGTCACCTGTAGCTCCCTATAATTCTTGTTTATTAAGAATATTTGGTGTGCAATGTAATTGTAATATTTGATTCCATTAGTTTGTCATACCAAATATAATAAGCCCTCGTTTGGCCCCTATTTTTTTCTCTCACTTATTTTCAATCACACAATTTTCAATAAAATAATATTACACGTAAATCAAAAACGTTTCATTCTTTTTCAACAGCACATTTTTCAAAAAACCACTATTCCAACCATTAAAATTTGGAAAGAATGCAGGCCAAACGGGGGCTAAAGACGGCTGCTGTGACCACTGATCCACATTTCGATTTTTTAATCAGTTGATATAACCAAAAAAAAATTTAAAAAAAATCCTTATTTTCAAAAACAATTCGAGATTATTTGATCTATTATGCATCTACTCGAAGATATAAGTGCAATCAAATATGGCATGCACATCCATATATCTTAATTTTTTTGGTCTACCACTCTCATCTAACTTGTTCTTGGATCACATCACTTTTTATGAACAAGACAAAAAAGTCTGTAATTTTTGGTACCTTTTCTCCTGCAAAACAGGATAAACATCATCCAAGTAGTATCGAGCAGGAGCCCAAGCTTGGACTCGAATGTTTGGAATGTTGGTGATGTTAAAATCATAGGTCTCCATCAATTCTTCTGGTAGATCACGAACTACTGTAACAAAACCTTTGAGAGAGGATATGAAATGATCCTCATCATAGATATCAGCAAATTCACTGTAAAGTACCAGATGGAGAGAGAGAGAGTTAATGAAATAGCACTTACAGAGTAAAAAATATTGTGCATCCCATATGGTGGGCATTGATAAAAGAATATGCTAAAAATGATGTCAGTCCCATGAGAATACAGAGCCATCATAATTGCCAAAATAATTAAAAGACAACATGTAGCGTAAAGATTGGATAAGAGAACAAATGAGGGTAAATTTTGGGGGGGGGGGGAATAAAAAATTGGCCTGGGTACTTGTATAATAGTCAGACACACAATCATGTAAATGAAAAGGCAATAATTGATAGCAAATTGTAAAATTTATTTTCTCGTGGGTTGATAAAGGATGCTAATTTGGAACTTGCCTTGGATCCTTCCAAACGCTATGAAGATCAAAGTGAGGGATGACAAGAGTGGCATTCAACAATCCAGCCAAAGCTACTGCATTGCAGATCTACAGACAGGATGATAATGATTAAACAAAAACTTTGATTACGCATATAAAATTAAAATAACAAGTTCGGAGATCTATTTAATAGGCAACAGAAAGAGGATGTAATAAGAAAAACCCACAGGGTAACTAAAGCAACACAAGTAACAACATTTTCCAGCCCTTTCATCTTTCAAGCAGTCAAACAAAACATGAATATGAATTTCAGGGGAAAAATGTATGAAAGGAACTTTTAAGTGCTTGACTTATGTGAGAAAAAACAGGGTTATCAAAAGTTTGACAAAGGGTAGCAGAAACTCTTTTTCCTACATCATTTCAAAGTTGACCTTCTAGACCAATCGTGTTTTCATTAATTATCCAAACCCACATTAGCTATTCTCGTGTAATTCGAAGAAATCCCTCAGGTTTCTGAAACTTTATACTTTTTATGTGATCCTTAATGTCCATCTTAATTATCTATATCCCCTGTTTCTTTTTAATAATTGATGACTAAAAATTGGAGAAACTATTTAATGTCATATCTCACATAATCATGATGATTTATTTTATGATTCCACTGCCTACAATCATTTAACCACCACCAGCTTATACAGATCTTCATGGCATAAATTTCTTGCTAGAATCTAGTAATAATTGACCTAGTTTAAGAGTTTAAATTGACAACATGTGTTTTATTTCCTTGAACTTCAATTTTGTTATATTCCTCCCACAATAGCAGATGAATACCAAGAGATTGGATCACACACTGAAGGTTTGAAGAGCTACTTAAAATAGGCATTTATAGTGAAAGTAAAGCAGAAGAATCAGTGTGAGATCAACTTGCTTGGTGGCTTGAATCAAAATCACCTACCGATGAACGCTGCTGGTTCAGGCCACCATTAGCATCAACAATCAAGTAACTACGAAGCCCAGGTGATGCTGAAACAGTAATCAATTTATTAATAGGCATAGAGTTGAAGATAAATTAGAGGGATGCAATGAAATGATGGAAATATAGTGTACTTCAACATCCCTGAAAACATAAGGGGCAGAAAATGACAAAAATAAATCCGTATACCAGGCTGCCAGCCAGCAGTAGCATTCGGACAGGCTCTTTGCTCTTTCAGCCTTCTCCTATATCTCCAGAGAGAACTCAACTACAAGTCACAACAAGGTCAGCTCAGCTAGTTACAAAGAAATAATATAAATCATACAGCAACCAAATTCAATGTGTATTTTAAGAATATTTCCTCCAAGAAATAGCATATGGTTGTAATGAAACTGAACCTGAATCTGTATGTTATCAGGTAAGATGAGAACACGTTCCTCAGATACAGGGTCAAGAAGTGCCATTTAATTAATATCTAAAATGACAGGAGTAAAGGTTCCCATCAATGCATCACGTTCCAACATGACCAAATATTATTGAGTATCACAAGGACGAAGATAGAAAATTAAATAGCGTTTAACTCGTCTGTCATTCTATGGTGTTTCTACTCTTTTCTCCTTCTCTTTTCTCTTTTTAGTTCATGAACAGTTCCAACCACAAAATAACCGTGCAAATATTAAAGAACACTGATGTTCATATTCAATTAACATGTCCTAAAAGCGATAATACATTATGCTCCTCAAAAAGCAATATAATGTACACATTCCTCACTTCTCCATATCTGTAATTTATTATGAATTCTGAAGACCATAAAAAGAATGAACTTTGACACTCAATAGGTAAATACATGGTAATTGAATCATATGCCAAAATCATAAAGATCACAGAGTAGGAAGTGGAAATTTTTGAAAAAGAAAAGAAACAATAAGTTGATGAAATATGTTAATTTAGCATTCTCTACTCTGGAGTTGCTTTCCAAAGTATGTTGAGAAACCAAAAAGACAATTATAGTTAAATCACTAGCATTTTTAAGAAAGGAAAAGTCTACTTTTACATAATTTTTGTAAATAGGGTCTCACCCCATATGAAGGGTGTGGGCACGCCTATGTACAAAATTAAGTACCCCTTGCATTGCCCAGCTATAAGAAAACCAATACTTAACCATTTAATCCTACAAATGGCGAATTCAGAATTTTAAGCAATGAAAGAAAACTAAACAAATGGGCAACTAGGAAAAATGGAATTCAATGGTACAAGAAAATTTACCAATTTCATAGAGAATATATAAATTCGGCTTTAAATAATCAAATATCAAGAATGAACAAAAAAAGAAAAAGCAACCACAATACACGTTCATAAATAAAAGAAAAATTACTATTATTTTATCATTTAGACGTATAATGCACAATAATTCTTATCACAAGTGGACAAATATAGTTAGATCGCATTTACAGTGGCTTTAAAAAATAATTTCTTGATTTTATCTGTTTCTTCTCTTAACAACTACAACAGACATAATGCAACAAGAAAAAAGAGAAGGAAAAAAAACTTCAAGCATACCTCAATGACAGAAGTATTATCAGACTGAATTTCAGGCCAGAGTTTTTGGAAAAGCTCATGGCTTCGGTAGAGTGATCCGGGTTCCGGTGGAGGAGGAGGGTGCAGGATAGTTAACAAGGGTCCGGCGCATGTGACTAGACCAATAATGTAGAGAATTGCCAAGATAAGAAGGTATCTTCGGTGGAATATTCTGGAGAAAAAGATGTAAGAGGCTCCACGGCGGCGGTGCTTGAAGGAAAGGTTAAGCTTCCGGCGCAAACTGGGGGCCGTGGTGGTGGGGTCTGTAGTATTATTATACTTTTCGCCATTAGCTGGGTTCAAGGCCATGCAAGAAATAAGTGTGTGTGTGTGTGTGTGTGAGAGAGAGAGAGAGAGAGATAGAGAGCGAGAGAGAGAGAGAGAGAGATGGGATCTTGATTGATGTAATGGGCTGCGATATTTTTGAAGGCAAATAGTAATGGAGACACTGAACTATGTGTGTGAGAGAGAAAGTTAAGAGAGTAATGGAGACGGTGAGCTCTGTGTGTGTGAGAGAGAGAGAGAATTCTGTCTTTATGCGTGTGAGAGAGAGAGAGTTGGAGAGTGGTCACCTGTATGGCTTTGGAGGCAACAATGTGGGAAATTGGAAAAATGAAAATTTCTTTAATTTTTGTTGTTTAATTAAGAAAATATCTAATGATTAGGGTTTTTGGAGGGAAATGTAATTCGGCATTAACCGTTGAAGATCATTTTATGTCCCCACGCATTAGCAAAAGGAAACTCACAGTATGATTTCAATATATCTTCCACCTCGTGGTAGAATAATGACATGATAAGCGACAAGACTTGAGTTACGAGTTCAAATTCGATGGAAGACTATAAATATTTTACACGATTCTTTTACTTCTTGATTTTTTCTTTACTCGTATCTCCTCTATCAACTAAGCGCTCATTTAGAGACGTTAGCTACCATCCAGGCTCCTTTTCTCTTGATGATGAAGCTTATCTTTCATCGTCTTATTGATCGATCTTGATCTTGTTATTTTGGGGTCACAAGTAGTACTAATACTCTTGAAAGTGTGGGAAGGTCGAACAAGTCAACAAGCAGAAATAGAAAAAGTTGCAAATGATTATGTCAGCACATGGGTTGTAATAAGAGTGGGATAACCATACATGAGTCTTTTTAGGGAAGGTTTCACATCTTTTCTGGCAATACCTCACAGTAGGGCACTCTTATTTGATATTTTTTTAATCACGTGAATCTCACGTATACATAGGTGCATGTCAATTAAAATGTGGAATATTTTCTGAAAAAGTGGCAATAGCCATCTTTTTACGAAAGAATCAAGACCGGAATGTCTTTCCATTCTCACTTTCTGCCGGTATCTCCGGTGGGATTATTTTTTTAATTATTATTTATCATCTTTTTCTCCTTTCTGTATAGAGTAATGATTGTTAAATTGGGACCCGCTTAAGTTGTAATGACAGTTGTGACCACAGTTGTGACCCACCGTGACTTCCTTTACATTTGTTGCCTTTTTCCTGCTACGTATTTTGATATACAGTATTGAACAATATAAACAACGTTAAAATCAGCAAAAAGAACTAAACTGCCCTAGTTTGGATGTGTTAATAAGATGAATAAATAGGTTAAGTATAACACACTTCGATTTTTTTTCATTATTGTCGAGTATTGTCTCGTCTACCCCACAACTTAGACAAGACCATGAGGATTCTTGAATTGCACTGGGTCACAGGCAGATTTAAAACTTCAATTCAAATCTAATGCACTTGTACTAGATCTCAGTGCCTACCGACATATTGTAGTAAACTTGGTGATCATGTGGACCTTGAGTTCAGTATATCAGCTTTAATGGCAGTAATCAGGCCATAATTGACGAGGCTGACTACCATCCGCAGAAAATGATATTACTATTTAGGCATGTTTGGAGAAGTTTCTACTCAAAACATTTTGTAGTTGAGTTTCTTGAAAGGCTACAACAGATCAACTTTCTGTAAAAGCTCATCTAATCACACAAAACACTTTCAGAAATTATCGAAGTAATCTTAAAAGCAACTTTTGACTTTTCAAAAATCGTACCGAACAAGTTAGAAGACCATGTTCATTCTGGGAGAGCCCATCGTACCCTAGCCTGTTTTACACCTCTCTTTCGACTGAGTCTTGCACACAGTGCACTTGGACAGTGGGATAAACGGGTCTAACTTAGAATCAGAAACGAGCCGTGTTTTTAAAGATACTGCACGTTTAATGATGGCTACTCCACTTCAAAAAAGCACTACTCGTCGTGTCATTTTCCGAGTCTAACTAGACGCCAACTGCAATGTTCATAATATCATTTTCAAATAGCATATACACCACAATCGATGAAGACAAAACTTCCAACCTTTTCAATGGAGAAGACAAGAAGGACCATCGAAAACAATGGGCATTTTCCAAGTTTCCAAGCTTTCCGATGGACAAAAGACCCACATGACCTGATAAAAATGCAAATTCCAGCTGGCAGCATAAGTCGGCATGTAGTTCTGGTCTGCTGCTAATTGAATAATATATAGAGGCTTCGCCATTCTCGACATGGAAGAAACATACTGCATAATTTTTCAGATAATCTTTTCTCTGTCAAACCAAAGTTCATTCGTTACAACTACAGTTTCTTAGGTGTGGAGTAGGTAGGGAATTGAACTACCCAACTACTAATTGAGAAAAAACAGACGACGTTCAGTGAGCACCAACCGGAATCAAGCACAATTCTGAGGCGTGTTTAAGAAAGACATTTCCTGAAAAACACATGAAACAGTTAGTTCAATTCACGAGTTGAGGAGTTGCAAATCTAATAACCAAAGTAAACTTGGTTCCCGGCATCAGAAGCATGAATCGAATTCTGCATCTTATTCTTAAAAATTTCAGACTCTAGCAATTATGAGAAGAGACACTGAACTATGTGTGTGAGAGAGAAAGTTAAGAGAGTAATGGAGACGGTGAGCTCTGTGTGTGTGAGAGAGAGAGAGAATTCTGTCTTTATGCGTGTGAGAGAGAGAGAGTTGGAGAGTGGTCACCTGTATGGCTTTGGAGGCAACAATGTGGGAAATTGGAAAAATGAAAATTTCTTTAATTTTTGTTGTTTAATTAAGAAAATATCTAATGATTAGGGTTTTTGGAGGGAAATGTAATTCGGCATTAACCGTTGAAGATCATTTTATGTCCCCACGCATTAGCAAAAGGAAACTCACAGTATGATTTCAATATATCTTCCACCTCGTGGTAGAATAATGACATGATAAGTGACAAGACTTGAGTTACGAGTTCAAATTCGATGGAAGACTATAAATATTTTACACGATTCTTTTATTTCTTGATTTTTTCTTTACTCGTATCTCCTTTATCAACTAAGCGCTCATTTAGAGACGTTAACTACTATCCAGGCTCCTTTCCTCTTGACGATGAAGCTTACTTTCCATAGTCTTATTGATCGATCTTGATCTTGTTATTTTGAGGTCACAAGTAGTACTAATACTCTTGAAAATGTGGGAAGGGCGAACAAGTCAACAAGCAGAAATAGAAAAAGTTGCAAATGATTATGTCAGCACATGGGTTGTAATAAGAGTGGAATAACCATACATGAGTCTTTTTAGAGAAGGTTTCCCATCTTTTCTGACAATACCTCACAATAGGAACACTTTTATTTGATATTTTTTTAGTCACGTGAATCTCACGATATGGGCGCATGTCAGTTAAAATGTTGAATATTTTCTGACAAAGTGGCAATAGCCATCTTTTTACGAAAAAATCAAGACCGGAATGTCTTTCCATTCTCACTTTCTGCCGGAATCTCCGGTGGGATTATTTTTTTAATTATTATTTATCATCTTTTTCTCCTTTCTGTATAGAGTAATGATTGTTAAATTGGGACCCGCTTAAGTTGTAATGACAGTTGTGACCCACCGTGACTTCCTTTACATTTGTTGCCTTTTTCCTGCTATGTATTTTGATATACAGTATTGAACAATATAAACAACGTTAAAATCAGCAAAAAGAACTAAACTGCCCTAGTTTGGATGTGCATTTTAGAAATTCTTCAACGATTAAGACATGTTTAGTAAGATGAATAAATAGGTTAAGTATAACACACTTCGATTTTTTTTCATTATTGTCGAGTATTGTCTCGTCTACCCCACAACTTAGACAAGACCATGAGGATTCTTGAATTGCACTGGGTCACAGGCAGATTTAAAACTTCAATTCAAATCTAATGCACTTGTACTAGATCTCAGTGCCTACCGACATATTGTAGTAAACTTGGTGATCATGTGGACCTTGAGTTCAGTATATCAGCTTTAATGGCAGTAATCAGGCCATAATTGACGAGGCTGACTACCATCCGCAGAAAATGATATTACTATTTAGGCATGTTTGGAGAAGTTTCTACTCAAAACATTTTGTAGTTGAGTTTCTTGAAAGGCTACAACAGATCAACTTTCTGTAAAAGCTCATCTAATCACACAAAACACTTTCAGAAATTATCGAAGTAATCTTAAAAGCAACTTTTGACTTTTCAAAAATCGTACCGAACAAGTTAGAAGACCATGTTCATTCTGGGAGAGCCCATCGTACCCTAGCCTGTTTTACACCTCTCTTTCGACTGAGTCTTGCACACAGTGCACTTGGACAGTGGGATAAACGGGTCTAACTTAGAATCAGAAACGAGCCGTGTTTTTAAAGATACTGCACGTTTAATGATGGCTACTCCACTTCAAAAAAGCACTACTCGTCGTGTCATTTTCCGAGTCTAACTAGACGCCAACTTCAATGTTCATAATATCATTTTCAAATAGCATATACACCACAATCGATGAAGACAAAACTTCCAACCTTTTCAATGGAGAAGACAAGAAGGACCATCGAAAACAATGGGCATTTTCCAAGTTTCCAAGCTTTCCGATGGACAAAAGACCCACATGACCTGATAAAAATGCAAATTCCAGCTGGCAGCATAAGTCGGCATGTAGTTCTGGTCTGCTGCTAATTGAATAATATATAGAGGCTTCGCCATTCTCGACATGGAAGAAACATACTGCATAATTTTTCAGATAATCTTTTCTCTGTCAAACCAAAGTTCATTCGTTACAACTACAGTTTCTTAGGTGTGGAGTAGGCAGGGAATTGAACTACCCAACTACTAATTGAGAAAAAACAGACGACGTTCAGTGAGCACCAACCGGAATCAAGCACAATTCTGAGGCGTGTTTAAGAAAGACATTTCCTGAAAAACACATGAAACAGTTAGTTCAATTCACGAGTTGAGGAGTTGCAAATCTAATAACCAAAGTAAACTTGGTTCCCGGCATCAGAAGCATGAATCGAATTCTGCATCTTATTCTTAAAAATTTCAGACTCTAGCAATTATGAGAAGTGAGTATGCCTTCTTCACAAAACAAGGGAACAAAAATAGTTGAACACGAAGTGTATCATTACTCTATTATTAATTGACTGCACCCACCTTTAACGGATTCAGCGACAATCTTTAAGGCCACCAGTTTTTTGATGTGCCAAGTATAATCTCAAAATGCATTTTTCAACAATGCCGACCTCTTACACAGTTCTATCAGTCCTTTAATATGCCTTTATACTACTGCTTCCAAGTACTTCTTGAGTTCTTATATCAGGGCTTCCATCAGCTATTCACTTTCTTTTAACAAGTACTCTTCAGTTTTCCTATAATCTTTTTTTCTTGGAGTCACTTCTTCTTTTGCAATGTTAACTGTAGTATTGCTCATCGTGTATTGGAGTCGACAAGCCATTGTGAAACAGACATCTTGCAGTACTAAATATGACCCAGAATGTTGAGAATTAGAAATTATAATTCCATACCATCGAGAGAAATCAACTTGCAAAAAGAAAAATAAACACTCAAAAACACGCAAGATTTATAGAGATTTGTCTTAATTTGATATTGCGTCGTCTTCCACCTCTGTGGTAATTCTCTACAAGAAAAGAAGTTTATAAGAGAATTTCACACACCCTATCTTTTCTATCATCTCTTTTATGTGATCGTGATACAAAAACCTAATAAGAGCTCTCCAATTATAATATAAATCAGGGTAAGATCGAAATTTACAAAGAATACAAATTTCTAGACCAAACTTACGAGGATATAAATACCTAAATTGTCTTTTGTGAAATTTTAATCCCCTGATCTACCCCCCCCCCCCCCGGGGGGGGGGGGGGCGGCCCTAATATAAATTAGGGTAAAATCAAAATTTACAAAGAATACAAATTTCTAGACCAAACTTACGAGGATATAAATACCTAAATTGTCTTTTGTGAAATTTTGATCCCCCGATCTACCCCCACCCCCCGGGAGGGGGCTTCCTGTGCCCCTTCCAAATCGTCGTGACCTCATTTTGGAGGTCAATCCGTGTACCGGATATTAGTGACAATCAATAAAGAGTGAAAGAAATAAATAAATTTGCCTTTCGGGGCATAGTCCAGTGGTGCAAAGGATATGAGTGAGGTTATCTCACGTCTTACTGGCAGTCGCAGTGTGAGGATTCGATTCTTGAGATATAGAATTGGACTTCTTGTAAGCACAGTGTACAGACAGTTCTTGTTCTCTGACCTGTTGGGACACATCCCACGATTTATCTCCCTCACGAATCTCTAGGAGCGGGACGGTGAGGACTTTCAAGATTGGGGTTCAACATTTTTAATAAACGAATTTGTACAACTTTTATGACAAGACAGATGTAAAACTTGAAACGCGTTTACCAAAATTTAACAGTTGGCTCGTGTAGCCTCCAATAGGTTCCACTTCCTCATCTCCAATAAAAGAATTTGTACAAGCTTCACTCTACTTTCCTAGTCAATTATCCTAAACTACGAGCGAGAAGTCATGAAAACAAAAAAGGTTCCAATTTTTTTATGCTAATTACTTGAACTTCCAATTGCCAAAGAGTAAATTTAAATATTACCCTATTGTAATACATTGCCCATTATAGCCTATTCATTCTTTAAATTTTATTTTCCCTCAAATTCATTAACTACACATTTATCTAATAAAATAAATTTGTACATAAATTTAAAATTTTTCTTTATATTTGAACCATATATTCTCCAAAAAATCACATTTTACAAAAATTATTCTCAAAAGTTAGGATTCAAACAAGGGTAAGAGTGCATAAATAATACGTCCAAGTAACATGGACGCGCTTAGGGATGGAAAAAAATTCTGCCAAACACGTAGTAGAGTGATGTGAGAAATACGATATGTCACAGGTAGAATAAGAAGTAACTCTACTAAATGTGAAAAGAAGAATTTTACGGGCAATCAAGATCCGTTCTAGGATGTAATTTGTGATACTATTTCTCTTGATGTTTGCATTATATGAATTTTTTTCTCTTTAAGTTATGATAACAAAATTTTGAAAATCAATTGAGCATTGAATTTTTATATTCTTAATAGAAAATAGTTGTTTAAAAAATAATAAATATTCTTATAAGCAAAAATGTGAAGTTAAAAACTTATAGAATTAGTAAATAATATGCTTCATTTCCTATTTTCACAAAAAATTCTCTCTTTCTTACGGGCCCATCTAAGTGATGTGCGTGGTACAAAGGCCTATCCAAAAAGCACATGGCGGAGTTACCTCATTGGTGAGTCTTGGCCGGGTTATCAACAGATTGCCTCAAGCGAAACTTGGTTTTCTCTTGCCATACCAGGTATTGTACAAGACAGAGCTGACTCTTTCACATTTCAATTGTTCTAGGGTATATCAAGGATCAGTCTTCGGTTCATATTTCGTCGACCAATCCTTCCAACTAGCCATCGCTTAGAATGTATTGTTAAAAGATCATCAATTCCTAATGAAATGGATGTCGCAATAGCTTGGCCGCATGTGAATTCTTTCAAGGCAACGGACGGCCTGATTCGACATTGTTGTTTACTCTGATCCGTATCATGACTAAAGAGAAAACTAACATAAACACATAATGAAATTCATCAGATAAATAATATACATTACACAACAATAAAATAAAGAACATTTTCATAATTCATCAATTTCATTTTTGACTTAAAAATAACTAGGTTCTCATATGTAATTTTGTTTATATATACACTTATGAGAACATTTTGTTAAAATTAATTGGCTTTGAGTTTTTACTTTCAAATTTGGAGAGCTAGATAATGTTACCTCTTTCGCTTCAGTGGAAACATGCACCTCCACCAATTCCCTAAGGGTTCATTTTGATTGCAAAAATCAACAAAGCAAACAAATTACATGTAAGTTGAAAAAGAAAAAACTACAAAAACTATAGGAATTCGATTTCCACTCAATTAGCCAAAAACATACTTTAAGTGTTTGTATTTTGAAATTTGAACTCCATTTCCAATTTCGTATCAAATAGCCAAAGAGAAAACGAATTCCTCCGATGTGATATTCTCCATGGAATTTAATTCTATCAAATGGAACCTTAATTCTTTTCTGAACCAAGCTGGTGTGCCAAGGAGGATTTGATACCCTCCTTGTCAGAACACTGACATTGGGGAGGGGAAGCATTTTTTTTTTCATTTTTTATTTCACGTGGATCCCACGCGCACGTGAGTATACGTCATCCAGGTAAGCAAACATTTTCTGGCACACCAACTTAATTCTTTTCATAAGAATTAGTGCCCCTGCCAACCTCCTATGCCACCGTATCCTCCATCGAACATCCCACCACCACCACCACCACATGGACCACCTTGTACTCTACCCAAATTATAATTTTTTGCCAAAAATCGTAACATTATTTTAGTATTTACTTTGTGTCTTGTGATTTATTATTTGGTCTTAAATATTCTAAGATAATCTAAAAAAAAAAAAAACACTTTAAGATGGATCTTGGGTTGTGAATGTGAGCCAAGCTGTCTGCTCTTATTATTATTTTTTTTTTTTACTACATACCTGTTAAGAGGAGGTTTAAAATATTAGACAATATAAACAACAAAAATATGCAAAAACTAAAGATCGAAAAAGACAGTAAAAGGAAATCTCATTAAAAAGTGCCCTAACACAGTAAAATCCAAAAATCTCCCAAAAATATAAGTGCTTTTGTCTCTAGGAAACCCACTGCCAGAATTGATCAGAACCAAGGCATTGTAGTAAGGATGTGTTGGCATTCAGACCGTAATCACGCAAGGTCACTGTAAAAATCACATTCTTCACTCAAAATCGAAAGTTCACACAAAAACACAACACTTTACTCGAGTTGAAATCACCCAAGATTACAATATTTGAGAGAGTAAACCAAAAATCAAAAGAGAGTTTTGATTTTCATAGAGAAGGCAATGAAGAACACAAATGGCCAGAGAAGAAAAGAAGAGTCTCAAAGAAGCAGAAAAATCACACGTTTCAAACTCTAGGACCCCTTTTATAAGAGTCACCAAAAGGTCAACTATCCAAAAGTAGTGGGGTTGATACATGACATCATCTCGAGCGTCCATCCTTGGGTAAAAACACGGTTTTGGGTAAAACACGTTTTTGCTAGAAACCAACATTTTTTAATGAAATCAATCAAAACATGGTTTGCATCATAGTGCCATCCTTTCTTTCTCCAGCTTGGTATAATGATCCACATTCACTTATAGTGTGGTTACTCCCAATTTTCAGACATCATCAGCACTCTTACCAGATACTCAAATCAATGTATAGTGATGTTCAGCAAGTTTAGGTAGTCTAGGAACTTGTTAAGGCTAGCAACTTGGTACCTGCATGAGCAGGGTAAAATTAGTAGAAATCTTCTCAAATTTCACAAATCCTTATGAAATTATATCCCTTATGAAATGAAATCTAACATCAACATGTTTAGATCTATTATGAAATACACGATTTCTACTTAAATGAATGGCTGATTGACTATCAGGATAAAGAACTACTTCTTTAACAAAGCCAAATTCATTTAATGACCCTTTTAATCAAATTCCTTCTTTACTAGCATCTGTAGCAACAATGTATTCAGCCCCTGTAGATGATAATGCAACAATCTTTTGGAGTTGGGATTTTTAGCTAATGCAAGAATTACACAAAGTATACATATAAACTGAAGTGGACTTCCTATTATCCCTACCAATAGCATAGTCTGAGTCAGTATAACCTTTCAACACAATACCTTCAGATTGTTTCCTAAACTGAATTCTTAAATCTGATGTACCCTTAATGTATCTAAGGAGCCATTTCATGGCTTCCCAATGAGTTTCACCTGGATTTGACATATATCTACTTAAAATACTTATAAAATATGCTAAATCGGGTTTAGAACAAACCATAAGGTACATGACAGACCCAACTATATCGAAATATGGCACTCTTGCCATTCTTTCAAACTCTTCTTTAAATTTAGGACATTGATCTTTTGAGAGTTTAAAAAATGATTTGCCAAAGTTAAACTCACACTTTTGGAGTCAGACATAGAAAATTTAATTAACAGGTTCAGCATATATGATTTTTGGCTAAGACTTAGTGTACCTTCTCTCCTATTTCTCTTAACTTCAATACCTAAAATTCTTCTCATGGTTTCAAATCTTGATTTTAGTTTGTTTTTTTTTATATCTTATATTTCTTTTATGTCATGAATTGTCAATAACATGTCATCCACATAAAGGAGTAGATAAAGTGAATTTTCTCCACATTTTCCTTTACAATATAGGTAAGTATCAAAGTTACTTCTCTTAAAACCAAGTCCAAACACAAAATTATCAATTCTTTTATACCATTGTCTTGAAACTTGTTTTAACTCATATAGGGATTTTTTAAGAAGGCAAACTAAATCAGCTTTCTTATTCATCTCAAAACCTTTGGTTGTTTCATGTAAATGGTTTCTTCTAAATCACCATTTAAAAAAAAAAAAACTATTTTGACATCTAAATGATCTAATTCCCAGTTAAATTGTGTGATTAAGGCTAGGATAACCCTAACAGTTGTAAATTTTACAACTAGTGAGAAAATTTCATTGAAATCTATTCCTTTTTCAGTAAAGCCCTTTGCCACAAATCTAGCCTTGTATCTGATGTCATTATCACTTTGTTTTCATTTTTTAATTT